CGTTGTCCTCTTCGACGAGTCCCTGAATGACTACTTGCAACAGAAGCATATGGATGTTCACATAAGGTACTGGGATGCGTCACACAAGGTTGCCACGGGGTATAACGTCCGTGTTTATGAGCCATTCAAAGGAGCAGGACATTGAAGAGAAACTGCTGAGTGCTCTGGAGCCTCTGCCGTTGGAGAAGATCGTCCAACTGTCAATGGGTGCACCGAATGCCAACTTGAAGGCTTTCAGAGGTCTGCAAGAACAGCTGTAGCTGAATTATTGGGTTCAGTGTTTAGATCTGGGCAGCTGTGGCTTGCACACAGTACACAATGCTTACAAAGCAGGCGTCACGGCCAGCAAGTGAAGGCTAGATGGCCTGGTCTCAAGCCTAAACACATTGTTTCAAGATGCCTGAGCACGAAGGAAGAACTTTAAAACTCTAACCGAGCAGTTTCTCGTGCAAGTTTGTTGCGCATCGATGGGAGCAAAGCTCAACTTTGCTCCCAAGTTGCCATGATGCTTCGGCCTTTTTTCATGGAATACCAAGCCAACAAGCCACTGGTATTCTTCCTGGCAAAAGACCTTGAAAGTGTGGTGAGAAAGCTGGTGACAAAATTTGTGAATTGCTCGATTCTCTGCTCAGTAATGGGCATCACCAGCATGCTCAGATTGACATGGGCGATCCAAACAACCACACCCCACTTGAGAAAGTGGACATTGGCCATGCGGCCCAACAGATTCTGAAATGCTCCAAAGTAAGTGCAAAAGATACATTTACATTTAGGATGCAGTGCAAGCAATTCCTTGTCGCTGTAACAAAGAAGATACTTGCGAAGAGCCCACTACAATTGCCCATAGTAAGAGGCCTTACTTCACTGGACCCCAGGCGAATGTGCTCGAAGCCAGACGAGTGTCTGGAATGCATCAAAAAAGTTTTGAACTCTCTCACTGCGGCAAAAAGGATCAGTGATCATCAAAGAGACACTGTGCTCGCGGAATACGCCGAGATATTGCAAGAACGAAGACACGACTTGCAACAGTTTAAAAGAACTTCGGACACCTTTTGGATAGGTTTTTTTATGACCTCCTGAAGATCAGTTTGTCACACAGTGAACTGTGGGAGGTCGTTAAGCTTCTGCTTGCCCTCAGTCACGGTCCAGCGAGTGTTGAGAGAGGATTCAGTGTCAATCGGCAGGTCGCTGTGAAAAATATGAAAGACATTTCCTACATCTCGCAGCGAATTGTATGTGACGCTGTAAGCAGGGCTGGTGGTATCTTGAATGTACATATCACGGAGGAAATCAGGACGTCTGTGGCTTCTTCAAGGCACCTCGGCCATGCTTTTTTGGAAGTGAAGAAGGAGCGGGAGCTTGAAGATGCAAGGCAAGTGAAAAGGCACTGCATTGACGAGGAAGTTGAAATATTGAGAAAGAAGAAGAAACTGGAAGGTAGTTGTTGCTGAATTGACGGCTTCAGCAGGCAATTATGCAGAGAAGGCAGAAGCCACGAGTGACCTCACATGGATCATGAAATCCAACAGCCTCGGGAAGACTGCTAAAAGCAAGGCACAGGAAATTCTGGACATTGACCTCAAAGTCCAGAAAAATAAATCTGAACTACCATGAACATTCAATGAGTGCTTGTTTGGTGTATATTTTTTGTTTAACATGTGGGACACGGCAACGTGTGTTGTTAATGTGCTTCTTTGAATCTAGCATACAAAAAGGAGAGCCCCTTAATATCTTGTCTCGTGCAATAAATATTACATTTTTAACGCATTTAGAATTGTGTTTTGTCTAAGTAAGGCTCTCAACTATTCCTTGAAAATGTCCTCGCTGGTCCTTGAAAGTCCTTCGAAACCCTTGAATTTTTGTCTTTGAGGCCAGCATGAACCCTGTGTAATGCTTTTTGTGTGGTGTACTGCATTTCCTAAGACAAATGGATATGCAATCTTTTTACAAATGGTACGAGAATGGCACACGCTCTTGGGCCATGCTCTGGCTACGTCATAGATCTTGGTGAGCGTTTCAATCAAGCTTTCTGAAAATTTTTTTTTTTTTTCGCAAATATGCAGTTTTTATGCTTGATATGTTTAGGGCAATCCCCGGAAATCGTTTTCAGTCGTTTGCAATAATAAAAAAAATATTGATGATTGGATTGTCAGTGGGCACTTCCAGTTTTTGAAACATACTCCCGCAATCATTACTGCACAGATATTTTTGAAATTTTTTGTTTTAAAGACATTGACAGGTTTTTGAGAAATTAAAGTGCACGACTATTCAGTTACAATTTTTTTTGTATATTTTCTAAAAATGATGAAATTAGTCAAAATCAATTGTTTTGCCACTTTTGAATTTGAATACAAATTTCAAGGTCCTTTTGTAATTATAATTATAATTTTAAAAGCGTTTTGTGCTTCGTGACTTAATACGGAACCAAACGATTATTGATACAAGTCGATCCATTCTGTAACTACAGCGAATTAAAAAAACCAAAAAATTGGTGCTTGTTTTTTTTTTGTTTTTTGTATGTTTGTGCTTCTCCAAGATGGTGCTCGCTGTCCATGAAAAGGTTGTAGTTAGGGATGTCGCGAACCACCCTAGGTTTGATTTCGAAAGGTTTCAACATTTTCTAAGCGAACTAAGGTTTGAATTCGAAAATTTTTGGTATTTTCGTACCGACCGAGGTTCGAACTCGAAAAATTCACAACTTTCGATCACAGTGGAGTTTCGAATTGGAAAAGTTCGAAGCTTTCACGGTCTTTAAAATTTCGAGTTAGAATATATCGATTATCTTTTTACTTGAGGTTCGATAAATTGGAAGATTTCAACTTTTCTAACTTGAAATTCGAGATATTTGAAAATTTTGAATTTCCTGGAATCTGAAATTTTAAAAATTTAAGATTTAGAAATTTTTGGATACAAAATTCGAAAAATTTGAACGCTTTGAATTTTTATACACAAAAAATTCAAAAGTTTCGAAGATTTCAAACTTCTTCCTACATAAAGTTCAAAGGTTTCGAATCTCTTTTAACGCTTATTCGAGAAAAAAAAAATACTTCAAAGATTTCGAAGTTCGAAGTGTGGTTTTCATGTTCCTCCACAGTTTCAGTTTCAAATAACGTTTTCTCGACTCACTGGTTTTCACGAAACCAGGTTTAGAAAAGTTTGGGTGGGATATTTAGACTCCGCAAAGTTGGGTCAGGTAATTAAATGAGACGACGAGTGTAAAGTTGGGTCGGGTAATTAAATGAGACGACGAGTGTCCCGGATGTGCTGGAATATTTGCCAGTGCAGAGTGACGTGTGACCATGGATCAGTAGTTGTGACCGCCAGCCGGGGAGGTCTTTAACGTGCATCACACAGTAGTGATCCCACAAACACACTGTGTTACGATACTCCTCTAGTTCGAAATGGCCAGGGACGGGCAGGAGGTTGAAGCTCAGAAAAGCCTTGAAGCGACCTGGCAAACTACTGCCCTACCCCTCGCACGCTGGAAGTAATCTGATCGAACGCCAGCCGAGTGACGCTGGCATATAGTGAATTAAGTTTGTAATTGTCCTGGAGGTTTATTTTCCGGGACCGAGGAAATGCCTCGCAAAAAGCACAGAAGCTGACACAACTCGAGGAGTGTTTTACCATACGAGTGGTGTCGGAAGAATAAAAACAGGAGGGGGGGGGGCATATGTATTGTTTGCTGCCGCTCTTCACTGCATACAAGATCGCGTAGATGGTCATTGTCGGAAACTCATTGTCAGAAGGCACTACTTGTGGCATGCTTATAGTAGTTCAAAGCTATGTCTTTTCGACCTAAATAACTGTGCCATTGATAAAAAAATAAAAAAAAAAAATAAAAACAACGATGCGGGGATAAGAAGCAAAAGAAGAAAAAAAAAACTATCAAACATTCGCCGGAAGTGTTGTATTCTTGCATATTCAAGGCTCAGAACTTCGAATAAAGTTTTTCTTACCGAAATGTGCACAGGCTAAAAGCAACACGTTTCAGGAACGTGAAGCGGAAAAAAAATGTCTTTTTTTTAATGACGTGCTGAACTTGAACAATATTAGATATCTTCTCCTATGAGTTCATTTATTCCTTAACGTGAAAAAACAATAAATACATTATTTTGTATTCTGCAGATGGCAATGTTATGTACTGTCTGTAGTGTTAATTTAAATTCAATACCTGAAACAACTTAGACGAAAAAAAAAAAAATACCAAGTTTAGGTCATAATTGCCCGTAGATACATGTTTGAACATTTCTTTGAAACTCATCTTGAATAACAATTATCACATCTTAAGACGGCACTTACCTAGGCTATATATAGATCATTCTTAAAAAGTTCAACATCTCTACCATAAATAGCTTCGGCTATAGTGCGCTTCAAATATGGCACAAACGACAATCATACCGCGATCTCAGCTTCCGCACAATTTGTGCGGTGGACGACAGCGCGCGTGGCAAGGCCATGCCGCACTTGGCTCTACACCAAAAGGCAAACATGTGCGAGAGAGAGTGGGAAAAGATTCTCCATGCATTTGAGGGGTCTACTGTTTGCTAAACAAAATGTGGTGGAGATTGCTGTGCGGCTTGCGCAATCGTAGTTGGGTTAGTGACTCCAGGATGGTGCAACGAGTCGACGACGGAGCCACATCTTGCGTACCATCTGTATTTTGAAAAGGGAGAAACAGATCAGGTTCAACAATCTCTCAACACAATTTTAGAAGACCTGAGTCATCCTTTGATGCATAACTATGTACCAAACACTCCTTGGTTTGTGCATCATTGTTTGCAAAGTCCGTAGACTTATGCCCGATCTATGTACATATTGACGTTGAGACCGGGAAGGTCCTTCGCCTAGCAGTTAAGAGAGATGGGTGTTCTTCTAGATCGGAAACTTTGAGAAGTCCCGCGGTAAATGAAAATGGTGTACGGTTTTCGACGCCAAAGGGGGAGTTTGTCGGCAGTCCTCTTCCCTCCAGACCTCTGACGCAAACCGCGTGCCCACAGGTCTGTCGGCGGCTGCCGGCATCGGGGTGGACGACCTGCGGCGGCTGTGCATCCTGCGGCTGAGCTTTGTCAAGGGCTGGGGCCCCGACTACCCCCGGCAGAGCATCAAGGAGACCCCCTGTTGGATCGAGGTGCACCTGCACAGGGCCCTGCAGCTGCTCGACGAGGTTCTCCACTCCATGCCCATCCATGACCCCAGGCCCCACGACTAGGGCCCCCCCTCTCCAATCAAAATAAATTGCGCCTGAAGTAGCGGCCTCATTTCTCTCGACCCCGGTCGCCGATGAGCTGAAGGCGGCAGCGAGGGGCTTTGGTCGTCTCACCTCCGGCATGAGCTTCCCACCTCTGGCAACGCTCCATCGTATCGTCCACGTCGAGCTTGCGCGCACGCCCAAACCACGGCTGGAGGTCAGGCGTTCGAAAGACACACCTTGTTGTTCTTACTCTGTCGGCGAACGTAGGGGCAGTGTGGCGTCCACTAGGTGAGACCACTCTGCTTGGTGAAGTGCTCCGTTTTGTCCTATCCACGACCCCGGGCCACGCGATTATGCAGGGCCGGCCACCTTTACCCCTGTCTAATTAAAATAAATCGCGCCACAAAATGTACCCCTGCCCGTTTCGATCTGGATGGCCACCGCACCGGCACGTGGCCGTTTATCGTTACTGGGCTTGTTAAAGACCCCAAGTTAGGAGTGGTACTGCACAATAGAGACCCCAAGTTAGGAGTGGTTCTGCACTGTCGAGATCTCAAGTCTACAGAGGAGAGACCAGGTGTCCATTGGGGCTGACTAACTTTGTGCAGTCTAAACGTGCGCGCAACTTGCCCAAGGTCCGTAGCTTGTAGATTGTGGTGTGCCACGAGTAATGCGTCCTGATCAGCCGATTACTGGAATGTCATTTGACGAAACTGGCGTTAAATTGTCCATTTGACAGGGGTTTTAGATTGCTTGTCAGAAGTGATACTTCGCTTCAAGTACCGTACAAACTGATGTCATCCACATGAGGTTTTAAAAAGCTAGACTTCCGAGTTGAGTTTTTCAATTGGCAACACTGCTCCTAATAGCGCAATGCTGTATTAATTGAAGCCACCAGGAAATAACTGAAGGAATAGCTGCCTGCAAAGAAGAAATCGGTTGTGAGTGACGTACGAGGTAGGTAATCTGTATAAAATCGACAGAGGCCAAAATATGCGAGAATGGCCGCAATCTCTTTGCTGCAAAATAATTGGTTTGCTGAGCTAGGCTTGTACAGATGCATCCTTGATAGCACTGCAGATGACTTTCTGGGGTGGAGTAGGACACTGTAACAAGGGTGTGTACGACCTGTGAGATAGCAGTGTGAAAATATAATGACAGTCATAGGCGTGTGTGTCACGTCCATTTTTTGTTTTCAGTTAAAATTTTTTATGATGTAGCAAAACATGTTCACACTGTGGAACGGGCCTTTTTCTTTTTTTTTGCAAGATACGCTCTAAAAAAAGAATGTATATCTTACATCCCTTGTTGCATATAATACAGTCCAAAACTTTGGTTGGACGTGCAGCGCACTGACGGTGAACCGACGCTGCCAACTCTCACGAGCAGTTTGATAACCGAGTTGTACAACTTATTAAAATAGCTAATGTATGTGTGACTTACTGCAAAAAAAGTAATTGGGGTTTTCTTGGCTCTATGCAAAACCTTAGTGTTTTTTTGTTTTTTTTTTGTAGTCTGATAGATACTCTAGTTGTTTAATAAGTTATATTACACCGTTACCAAGCCTCTCGTAAAAGTTGGGGCTGTCAGTTCGACGTCTGTGCGCTGTACGTCGAACTGAAATTTTGGGGTGTCGTATATGCGATAAGGGGCATGATAACTACACCCTTTTTTTAAATATACTTTGTTTTCGTGTAAAAACAAAATTGTGTCCGAAATGCACAATGACGCAACTTTGGGGGCTGCAAATATGAAGAATACAACTTTCTACATCGTTAATATTTTTTTTATGCATAGCGCACATAAACTGGTCTATTAGAATTGGTTATTTATTTTATTTACATTTGAAAGAAATAAAATGACAAACAGCTTTTTGCTAATCTGTCATTTGAGACTTTATTTTGCGAATTTTAACAGATTTGGAAATCAGGTTTTTGAGCTGAAATTTACTGTACAAAGTATTTCATGCTTTGTCCATTTTTGAAATATTCAGCATTCTACAGCATGTCAACCAGTACACTTCTAAGGCACTTTATGCCGCACTCACATTGGCGACGTAACCGCATCAGCAAAGCGGTTACAAACTAATACACTTCAACGAAATTTGGCACGAGGGCTCGTTTCCGAAAGGCTGGAAAACAGCTACCATCTGCGTAATCCCGAGCAAACGACCAGACTTGCTTACTAATCTCGGTCCAATCTCACGAAATCTCACTGACATTGTGTATAGACCTTTTCTGTGTACTCTCGTCCCCAGCCACCTAACAGGCGTATCCGGTATGGGCGACGAAAAAATAATCCAACGTTTCAACCTGCAAATAGTAAAAAAATAAAGGGGAGGCAAAACGAGAAAGTGTGACGGTTACGCTTATATCCCAAATGCCTTCTATTGGCGTGGCAAAGGCAAAATAATGTTTTTGCCCATACTGGAAGTGACGTCAATTCAAGATGGCGGCGCACTTGCAGAAAAGGTCTATAGACCATTCCATTTAGCGCTCTCAGGGCGGCGCAATTTTGTCAGTGAATTTTGTTAGACTGCAGCGCCCTCTCCACACATTTGGGAAGTTCAGCCAGGGCTGTGTTCCAAAATCAACTTCATCTTACTCCAGGGTAAGGATTTTACACTTCGGCGTCCTAAAACCTACCTGCGTCTAGCATTTTTCAGTCGGCGCTGTCACGTGACACGACCCGCCGGAGTAACTTGGATTCGTTTGGGTAAGATTTGGAACACTGCCCAGGTTTGGCGGGGTAAAACGAGAAAGGGCACGCGCCCGACTTCTAGCAGCCGACGAACCCGGAGGTTGGCGTTCTCCATCTTTGGGTTGTACCGGCGTGCTGTACCGAACATCGAGCTCTCGCTCGTGGCTGCCATTGTGAAGTGGTTCGCGTTTTTAGAATTTTATGGTTATTCCAAAATGAGCCTTTCGCGCTCTGTTTTATTTCAGTAAATAATCAACTAGCGTATCTTTGTTCCATTACTTCAATAACAGTGGAGTCAGCCGGCACCTCATAATACCGTTTTACTGAAAGAGGGCGAGAGAGAAAAGAGGAAAGGGCTACCGGCGCTTTCCCCCTTTCTGATTGTGTAGAAAGAGTGAAAGTCCCGTATGAGAGGCTTCGCCAGTGTTGGGTGTCTGCTGTGCCCGAACTTCGGTCGCGCTTTCTTTTCGGTTTTAAAGGCCGACGACCAGTTCGCGCTTTCCACTTTTGCCTCGCTTCCTCCTCTCCCCTTCTACCTGTCCACCGCTGGCTGTTTTCTCCTCCCCCATGGTGAGGAGGATCTTCTGCCTTGCAGAATCTCGAGTCTGGTCGTCGGCCTTTAGACTCGCAAACCTAGTTAGAGCCACAGGCTTCGATGGCAACAGTCCCCCGGTCATCGGGGTGCACGAATAAAAACAAAGCATAGAATACTGTCCGAGGACATATGTAGCTTGCAAGGAATCCGGCAAGGCTAGAGCGGCTGCAATGTCTTTGAGCTCCATCGCTTTCCGCATGACCCCTGTCTCCGGCGGCAGTGGATTGCGTCCGTAAACCGAAAAGCCGTTTCCTCAGCGCCATCTTCTCGACTTCGCTCGTAACATTTCGTGAATGGAGCGGGCACCAAACGCTGTACCGCCAATGAACATGGGGTACGCTCGCAATGTACGTGCGAGTTTTCTCATGATAACTGATGTTTCAGCTCGTAAAATTTTGTAACTGAATTTATCTTAATAGTGATAATTTGCAGTGGTGACTGACTCGATTTTATCATCTACAACACTTAGTTGAAGGCTCATTTCCGCCCCCGGGTGAGGCTGGAAATTGTTGAAAACGTATTTCTATTTTTTTTTTTTTTGTCTTTTTTTTAATTGCGATCTTCTGCGCGATACCAGGGAGCCGGCAAAAGCGTCCTCGGAGTGCCGCTGGTGAGTTGTTTCTGTTGACTAAGGCGCTTTGAGGCGCTGCAGGGAACGTCTCGTGTGTTGCGATCTGCGTTTTCGAGCCCAGTGTGCACGTTTCTTTGTTTGAGTCATGGCAACCGCCAGTGTGGCGACGGGGGGGAACAGCGGCAGCGAACGTGCCAGCTATAGAAATTGGAGGTGAGTACCCAAAATATTGCATCAAATAGTAAGATAATTCGGGGCTGCTTCGAGGCTTTCTGCGGTTCGATAAAAGTACATCTGGAGCGTCTTCGTCGTTCATTCACAAGAAAATATAAGAACAGGGACACGAAGATAAAAACAGCAGAGCAAGACGTTATGTAGCAGCTCCGGGCGTTTACAAAGTTAATTGAGTTTCCCGTTTCGTGTATAACTTGTTGATTACAACTAAAAGCGGCTACGTTGAAATAGGCCCATTGCAAGCAAAAATCTATAAATGGTTCATCATTTCCAGTCATGCGGAAAGCAATGGAGCTTAAAAACATTCCAGCCGTATTTGCCTTGCCGGATTCCATGCAAGCTACATAGGTCCTCGGACAGTATTCGATGCTTTCTGTCGTTATTCGTGCACCCTATCACCCAGCAATGTTGTCCCGATGACCGGGGGACTGTCGCCATTGAAGACCATGACTCTAATTAAGCTTGGGAGTTTGAAACGTAGAAAAAAGCGCGAACGAAGTTGGGGCACTGCAGACGCCCAACACCGGCTAGACCTCTCATCCGGGACTTCCACTCTTTCTACACAATCATGGCGAATTCGCGTGGTTCTTTCTGCGCGCTCTCGAGCGCTCTTTCCAGAGCGCGCGAAATCGGTTGGTTGAAAGAGAGTGCTGTGGCCTGATCGGGTGGTTCATTCCGAGGGCGCCTCTCCCTCTCAGAGCGCTCTCTGGCGCTCCGTCTGTAGCCGTCGGAGTGCGGAGCGGCGTTAGCGGTGCACTCCGACGAAAATGGTTAACATCCAAAGGGACGGCGCCAATAGGAGGCGAGGGGTGCCGGGCGCCTCCCCTAAAATTTGTCCTGCCACCCCAAAAATATGCCAGCCTTTACACCTCCCCCACTCACCCTAATTTTCGCGCGCAGACCCGCATACGCTACATGGCTCGTCATTTTCCTCATTTCCTCGTCCCATGGAAAAGGC